TTTAAAATAAATTAAAAATTTCATTGCTTAAATTTTTTATGTTTCTATTATTTAAATTTTTTTTTTTGGTTTTTTAAATGAAAAAACAATAAAATCATTTTTAGAATTAATATTAAATATTTTTCAATTAAGAAACTGCTTAATGAAACTACGTTATAAAACCATTTTTGTTTAAATTATGTTAATAACGGCATCATTTTTATAGCAGCATTTTTGCTGTTGTGAGTTAATGATCTGCGAAAATACTAGTTAAAATGCCGAATCAAATAATTGCATAAACTATCTAAAAAAATAATTTCTTATTTTTCAAGAAAAAAGTATTTTAGAAAATATACAATTTAAAATATAGTATATCTCATATAATAATAGAAAAATTAAAATTAAAAAAAAAAATTAACTTTGTGTTAGGTTGTTCTCTTTAAATAATAAAATATCGTATTTGCTTGCCATAAATTAGCGGTAAAGTTGTGTTTTAACAAAATCAAAACAAAAATGGTCGCTGCAGCGTGGTGTTACTATATTTAATTTGAAGTATTGCAAACACCCTGTTGGTTTGTATTGATGATTTATTTGAATAAGGTCAGTTTTATATATGTGTATATATATATATATATATATATATATATATATATATATATATATATATATATATATATATATATATATATATATATATATATATATATATATATATATATATATATATATATATATATATATATATATATATATATACATATATATATATATATATATATATATATATATATATATATATATATATATATATATATATATATATATATATATATATATATATTATATATATATTTTTTTATTTCTGGGCCTTTACTTCCAGTATATATGGTAAAATCCTGCATATATAGGCCTTTTTATAAAAATCCCGCATGGGCTTTTTAGAGCCACCACGCCCCTGCTTCCTTGTAGCAGTAGGCTATAAAATAGTCGATATAGCAACACTCTGCGCATAGTTTACAGTAAAAAATTAAATATAAAAACATTTTATCAAAAAAAAAAAAAGATTGTTTATATTTTCAAAAACATTCAGAATGTTTTTAAAAACATTTTGATCAATTAAATTTGCGTTTTTTCGTTGTTTTTTTTTAAAAAAAGATTAATTTCCAATTAAATTAATGGTTTTAACTTTATGGTAACACTGAAATTTTGGATCAAAGTCTAAAGTAATTAAAAGTGACATGTTGTCAAAAGGATTATTTTTTACTTTCTGTACCCTCAAAGCCAACAATTTATAGAACTATATATATATATATATATATATATATATATATATATATATATATATATATATATATATATATATATATATATATATATATATATATATATATATATATATATATATATATATATATATATATATATGTCAGGGACTATTCTTGACCATTTTTGACAGCTTTGACCATATTTGGACCTCAATTTAGCGCCCATCATTAAAATAGGGGATACCACTGCCCAAATTTTATTTCCTAGAATAAGCCCTGTAACTAAGTATGTATATACATATATATATATATATATATATATATATATATATATATACACACACACTATTAGACAAAACATTTGCAAGTTCCTAATTTTATGTCTTAAAAAAGAAACGAACTATACTACCACAGCAAACAGTTCAAGAGTCTGGTGTCATAGTATGCCATGACATAAGCAATCCGCTGACAGGTGACACCAAGAAGCTTCCAGAAGCATCGAAAAGAAGCATCTAGAATCTTCCAGAACAGGTTCACACAGGTTCATTTTACTATATAAGAGATATGTAAACTAACATGTAATTCAGTCAGTATATGGAAGTTTATCAGTCAGTATTATCAAGACAGTTTATCAAAGTGAGTTTTATCAAAGTGTTTTATCTAAGAACATCAATACAAGAAGTGAAATACAACAAGTGTTTCATTACATCAATACAGTCTACATCCAAACAAGACGTTGTGTTCCACAGAGCATTATTGTATCATCACAAGGTAAATGTAACACGGTAAGCCTTGAAAAGCGTGATTATTTATTTTTTATTATTTTTATGACTTCAAATGCAAAAATGGCTCCCGACAGTCTTGAATTGGAACTAAGAAAGAAAATTATTGGCGATTACATAAGTGGAATGTCACAAAAAAGTATTTGTAATAAATATCGCGTGAAAAAATGGACCGTATCAAGACTATGTTCCAAATATCGTTTTACGGGAAATATTTGACATATTGACTAAAATGTCAAACTGTCCTGTTCAGTGATGAATCGAAGTGAAGAATCAATGAAAACATCATTGGGAGCGATGGCATTTGTCATGTACGTCAACCGGCTGGAAAACACCTCGATTTATGTTACTGCCATAAGACCGTGAAGCATGGTGGAGGCAATGTAATGGTCTGGGAGTGTTTTTCTGCTAACGGTCTAGATCCAATACATCAAAATGATGGAATAATAGACCATTTCATGTATAAAAATATCCTGAAAGATGTTATGTTACCTCATGCTGAATGGAATATGCCAGTAAAATGGGTTTTTCAGCAAGACAACGATCCAAAACACACTGCATAAGTAGTCAAGCAGTGGTTTAAAGACAACCACCTATCGGTGATAGATTGGCTGCCTGATTTCAACCCTGCCGGATTTCAACCCTATTGAGAACCTGTTGGAGATCGTCAACCGCAGAATTAATCGTGAAGGTGTTTGTAATAAGGATCAACTGTTTGAACAAATCCAAAAGGCCTGCACAGCGATTCCACAAAGTTTCATTGATCATCTGATCGAATCTATGCCTCAAAGATGCGAGGCTGTGATCAACAACAAAGGATTCGCCACGAAATATTGATAGCGAAATATAGCTTGGTCAACATTTTGTGGAGTTGCACTTGTTTTGTCCAGAAGGAAATCAAATTTTTTTAATACTTTTGATTAATTTATTAATTTTCATGTAAAAATAATGAACTTTGTGATGAATAAAACTTAAAGAACTTTGTCTCTAAACAGTTACATAGTTATTTCTCTAAATTGAAAAAATGCAGCACTTTTATATAAAGTGCTGCATTTTTTTATTTTTAACTAAATTAGCATTATTTGGTTGCACTTGTTTTGTCCAATACTATATATATATATATATATATATATATATATATATATATATATATATATATATATATATATATATATATATATATATATATATATATATATATATATATATATATATATATATATATATATATATTTATATATGTATATATGTATACAGGCTTCGGCAGGAATAAAAACCGTACGGGCTATGAAAAGCCCGTCTTAAATAGACTTGACGGGCTATGAGGGCCGCCCGTCTAGATGGTCTTGCACGGGCTTTTTTAAGCTTTAAAAAAATTCTAAAATTTGAACTTTTTTTTTTTTAAATTTGTTAATTTCTCTTTTTGAATGAAAATGTCATTGAATATTAAACATTTTGTGAATTGCACTAAAATAATATGTTAGAAAGCGATTAACTGTTTAAAATGCTTAATTACTTAAGTAATTAAAACACTGCCGTAAATAAGTTGGATAATACTTAAAACTAAGATTTCAATAATTGTTTTTCAAAGTTTTCACTTGCACAGATATAATTTCGTTTCACGTGGGTTAGTTGTTTTATGGTTGCTTTTGTTTAAATTTCTTACTCGAAGGAACTTTATTCAGTTTTTTATGTTGTTTTTTTTTAATCTTTATTCCAGATAATATCTGGCAGATATAGTCATTCTTTTCCACAGACTCCATCTTTACCCCAACTCAAAAATGTTGCTAATGTAACTCTTCTACCAGATGATGCCATTACTATCTTTACTGAAAAACTTGAATAACTTGAAAAACTTGAATGACTGGATAACTTGAATAACTTCATAACTATAAAGCAACACTATTTATATTATCTACAAAAATTGATTAGACGTTTGTTGATTTTTAATGAGATATTTCATTTTCAATAACGAGTTATATAATTGCATATTAAATAAACTGCCATCTCTTTAAGAAAAAACGTGAAGTTAAAGCGGAAGTTAAAGCGGAAATATCACTTTAAATGTCTTTAAAGTAAGACAAACTAGTTTATCGGAAAAAAGCGAAATACATGGATAATTAGTTTATTATCGTTATTATTATAAACATTGAAAAACCAAAAAAACAACATGATACTTCTTGTGTATCACATGTGTATATTTCCCTATTTAATATAATAGTTATTAAATTTTGAACATAATATGGTAACTGTTTGGTATTATATCAAACAGTTATCGTCGTTTAAAAAACTGTAAGATTTAGTTATATTATTTTCTACATCATGTTATACAATAATGATTAAATTGTTTAATTTTTATATTTAAATATAAACAATTATAAGTTGGAGTTTGCTATCCATATTAAAATTATGTCATGAGAGAAGTTTTAAAAGAGTATCTTAATAAAAAAACATCAAAATATTCATCTTTTTTTTTACACAAAACTTATGTTTCAGACGGGCTTTATTTCGCCCGTCTAAATTGACTTAGACGGGTGCGGAGACGGACACAGGCTATAGCCCGTCATTCCTGCCGAAGCCTGTGTATATATATATATATATATATATAATATATATATATATATATATTTATATATATATATATATATATATATATATATATATATATATTATATTATATTATATTATATTATACATATATATATATATATATATATATATATATATATATATATATATATATATATATATATATATATATATATATATATATATATATATATAATATATATACATATATATATATATATATATATATATATATATATATATATATATATATATATATATATGTATATATATATATATATATATATATATATATATATATATATATATATATTTCATTTTTTCATTTTTATTTGCATCAATTCAATCATTTTATTTAAAATTTATTTTATTTATTTTGTTTTAGTGCATGGGCTGTACACACAAATAGATTTAATGAAAGTAAACCAGAAGATGTTTCAAGATGGAAAACTAATTTACGTTGTGCATTAGATAGGCAACCAGAAATAAAAAGAGTTCCTGATTATGAATTTGAAGATGAACTTCCTTATCGTGCTTACCAGTTTACATTTTCAGGTATTATATCTCTATAGGTTGATTTCATATGAAATAAGCAGACATGGACAGGAAAGTTGTTTGATCACACTCAAGATTAGACTACGCATATAATTTAAAAAAAAAAAAGCTTGAAACGTTAAGGTTGAATATCTTTAAAGCTTTATCTTTTCTAATATTTTATAATAATAGGCAAACTCTTTTAAAAAAAAAATTAATCATGAAATACACAAATTTTAAAATAACATAAAATTATTTTTTTAATATTCTTTATTAATTTATTTCTGTTTTTTATTTTAAAAAAAATCATTAAAATCTGTTATTTTAAAATTTGTTACTTTATTTAAAAGAAGTTCCTGAAATATGACTGTTTTACTTTTAGAAGATATTGGCTAGGCCCCTCTTGTCCCCTTAGAATTACCTTTATTTAGAGGTTTCAAATCATGTAACTTCAAAAAGATTTTATATTTTTGCTTAAAAGTTTGTATCTAGTTATTTTGAGGGGTGACGAGTCCAATAAAATGATTAGAAATGTAAAAAAATTTTATTAAGTACCTATAATTATCAATTTAGATAATTTTTTTTTAATTTTTTGTATACCTGTTTTTAACGCTCAAAAAACCCATGCAGCCTTGATGATATCAAAACAAAGAAAAAGTTGCGCATCATTGATTCATTCATTGATCTTTAAAGAAAGTATAAGGATTTTGATCTGCAAGTATTTAGTTTTTCATATATGGATAATAGGAACATGATGAAAATGCATATTAAAATTGTATCCAGGGCCAAAAACAGCATAGTGCATGTGCCCCACTCCATTAAAGGTGGAGTTTTGCGAGAGGTTTTTCACTACTTTTAAGACAAACTGGAGCCCTGAAACATTCAGCATTTGTGTAGTCCTAATGAACCTATGTAAAAATTGTTTCCAGGACAGACAACCAGAGGGTCAGTGGGGCTGATGCACCACTTTTAACAAAGTAAAGATAACTTTAAAAATATTATCTTCAAAAACTTTCGTTTTATACTTGTTCCAATTTGTTTTTGATCATTCTATATTCATCGATCTTTCTTAAAATATGTTAAAAAATCTTTACTTTTTTAAAGGAATTCCTAACTGCCCAAATTATATTTTTTTGTAAGTACAACAATAAACATAAGAAATATAACATAAACATTAGAAAATAGGTTTTAAGTTTATTAAAGTTACTAAAACAATTTATTTATTAAGATATTAAAAAAAAACATTTGTTGTTTTGCAATTATATATCCGGATAAGAGATTAATATTAACTCCATGAATCTATATATTTTTTCCGTTGTAAAAATAGCTGATTTGAATAATAAATGTATTTACCGCAGACTTTACACAATTAGATTGATTTTTTCCTTTTTCATAAAATAAATTTGGTACTACATTAAACATTTTAGTTCAACTAGAACCTTTTGATTTAAAATATTTGTATTTTTGGTTTTAAAATTTTATTAGCAAAACTTTTTTTTAATCTTGTTAAAAACAAATACCAAGTGTAATTTTTAAACTCACATATCTTATATTTATCGCACTATTATATTTGGTTAAAAAATAAAATAAATATAAGTTAAGCTTTTAAAGCATTTATTTATTATGTTATTTTATTTATATATAAAAATTAAGTGTGCCCACATAGACTATCTTGAACATTTAAAACAGGGAGGGAGTGTACATGCATCAACTGACTAAATAGGTAGAACATGTAGGATGTGTACATACATCAACTAAGGGTTTGGACTGGCAATAAGTTAAAAAATATATTTTGTTTTGAAAAGTGTTTAAAAATCAAGGCAAACACTTATTTTGTTATATTCTGGCCATCAATTTACACAAAACTTCAAATGTCGGAATATGTTTTTCATTTTATCATCTACCAAGAATTTCTTTTTGTAGGAAATTAAGCTTGTATTCCAATAACTTCTGCAATAACATTTGCCTCTTAAACAATACTTTTCCCATGAGTCATTTATGTGACCTATCTCCTTCACTAAATCTTGGATAAGAGCTGTTTCAACATCAAAGAATATTCCTTTGCTTTGTATGGCGAAGTTCTTATTGTTGATAGTTGCTAGTATTTTGTGCCAAAAACTTATATAGATATAAAACTAGTCATAAGTAGATTTTTATAAGTTGTAAAGTATTTTTTCAAGCCTTAAGCTATGTTTTGTGCTGAAAGTGTTAATTCTAAAACATTTTCCTGGAGAAGAACATCTAACACAGCATGTTAGGATAATGATTGGCGATCTGTCGAATGGCTTGAATTCTTCCACTCTAGCTTGTTTCTAAAAGACTTTGAAAAGATAACGGTATTTGTTTTTTCAACACATCCCATCAAGCAGGACTCTGAGAGAACAAACAGTAGAAGCTTTCTATGCTTCTGAAATAGGTTATTACATAAGGATTTAATTTTGCTGCATTGATTTCTACACGTTTTAATGAATGGGCTCCACACAGAGAAAATAAGACAGATGGGTTATTTTTTTAAATGCAGGCCTTAACACCATTATTTTTACTATTTGATTTTACAGTTTGAACCATTGTCATAACCTTGTGAACGACAATCTTAAAGTGGAATGTTGTGTCTTTCTAGAGTGATAAGTATTTCTTCTGTTAATTTTCTCCTATTTTCCTGTTAAAGTTCATAAACTCTATGAAAAATTGTTTACTATTTCAGTTTTTTTGATTACATTAGAATCATAAGTATCATCTGCATTTAATTTTTTTTTCTGCCACACCATCATTAGACTTATCTCATGTGTTTTTGTTCCATCTGAAGCAGTGAATTCATGCACATTTTCTTTGTCTGATTTTTTACCTATTGAATCTAATTCAAAATGATCTTCAGTTCTGACATCAATGCTACAGTTATGCTCTCTGCAATCCTCAATTTTACCATTAAAAGAATCTTCGTTTTCATATTGGAAAAATTTGGTTATTGATTGACTACCAAGAGATTTTTTTTTGATCTTATCTCACTTTTAAGTTTTCTCTTTTAAGCTCCAGATTTATGTTTATAATTTGAGTTTGAAAAAAAATTAATAATAATTTTTTACATTTCAGATCATTTTGTTGGCTTTGTCACCACTAAAAGTAGCCAGATACAAGTTGATAAAAAATAGATAAAAGTAGCCAGATACAAGAAAAAATAATTAAAAGTTAAAACTATTTAATATTGATATAATAAGGAAATTTAGAGTTTTACAGCTATTTTACCACGCCCTTGTGGTAAAAAAGCTGCCTCACCTACACCAAATATATATATATATATATATATATATATATATATATATATATATATATATATATATATATATATATATATATATATATATATATATATATATATATATATATATTGAATGATTGAATATTGAATATATTGAATATTTTTTAATTCTGCTGTATTTATAGCAATACTTATAGAATAATTTTTATATAAGACCCATGTTTTTGCGGGTCAGATCAGCTATTATTTGCTAAATGTGAAGCGGTCTTATTTCAGTATCTTTTTGGAGCTAAAGGCTAAAACTTTCAAGTTGTTCTTATTTTACTAAGTACTCTCAACTGTATAAAAGTAAGCTAAATCTGAGATGCATGGTGACATGGGCTTTGTCAATTGACATTTTTAACTATATAATTTTAACTATATCTTTCGATATTTTGAATAAAATGTTTTCTATAGTACACAATCATAAAAACCTATTTCTCACTTTATTTTAGCGCATTTTCAAAACATTTTCAAAAATCTAAAAAGCCATGGTCAAGTTGTCGCAAAAACAAACTAAATAGCATGCGATTGTATGACTTTCTTGTCCATGGCTGACATATATCACCATATGCTATCAATATTGCTAGTTTAACGTATGTTGAAGAGCTTTAGCTAATCAGGAGTGTACATTCTGACTTTTGGTCGGTTGCCAGAAGGGCGATGTAAGGTAACTAGTTTGTTAATTTTGGTTGCCCGTTGACTTTTTGAGTTGCCTATCCCTGTTTTTTATAAAAAATTTTGCATTCAGTGGATTTCTTGCATGTTCTAGTCATTTTTCATTATAGGGCTAAGTGTAGACTAGTAAGTGTAGAAATAATTTGCCTAAATAAAAGTAATATTGCAAACTATTGATGTTATTTACTTTTTTACTTTCAGATAAAACACATGCCAATATATATGCAATTAGGTTTTTCACTTGAATTGAGTGCTAACAAAAAAACATTTGCTTTTTTTTAAACAAAGTATTGGCAAATATAAAAAAACAATTTACATATATTTTAAAAACCTTTGCTTTTAATGTGTTTTAATTATAAGGATCTTATTTTTTACAGAAGCTTAAAAACTGTTGATATTTTCAAAGTAGTTTAAAGTATCGTGTTTTAATTAAATTTAATTTTAAACCACTGTAAAAATTATTTAAACTAATTTAACAAAATTATTAATAGAATCTAAATTCAGTATTTAAAAAAGTAAATAAATCCTTATAATTTATTTCTTAAAGCAATCTTATACTTAGCATAATTTTTTGCTTGTTTATCACAGTTTATTTATTTATTTTAATTTTTACATATTTAATATAGTTTTTTCGAATAATTTATAGATAGATTTTATCAGTTATCAATAAGATATTTGAAAATGTAATTTAAGTTTATAAACGTATTACGTCAAAAGAACTTTTCACAATATTATTAAATTAATAAGAAACAAAAATACATTTGTGAAAAAAATTTTCTTAAACAAAAGCACTTCTCCTTTTTTATAAGAAAAAAAAAAAAATTAATTACCTTTTGTTTATAAAAATCTATGATAATCTATGATGGATTGACTTAAATTTTACGTAATGAATTAGTTACCAAACGGTTAGAAAAAAAACTTCATAATAAAATTGCAAAACTGTTTTACACTCATTTGAAACGAAATTTTACATTCAACGTTTCACTATTTTACATTCTTTCAAAACTAAATTTAAATTTTTAAAATCATATTTAATTTAGAGTCTTTTTAAATTAAATTATTTTTTTAATACACAGTTTGTTTCTTTAAAAAAATTTTTATGAACTAATATTTCCTGAATAAACGTCACAAGATGTTTGCATTTTACATTGTATTTGTTACATTGTATCAAAGGAATATTTTTGTTGCCCTTCACAAAATTTGGTTGTCTGGTACTTTCGTGCCACCTCGAGTGTACACCTCTGCTAATGATTATTTGAAAAGTCTGTAAGTTGCAAAACTTTTTACACTTTTTTAGGTTTCAAATTTGCTGGTTTTTTCTGACTTTATACTGACTTTTTATGGCATTTTTTTTGTACATTTAATAATAGTGTTTGATAAACTGAAAGAACAACCAAATTAAACCAGATTTTAATAAACAGAAAGACCAACTAGATTCAACCAAACCAGATTGAACTAGACAAGATTCAGCCAATCATATTCAACCAGATTTTCATAATTAAACACAGCTTTTAGATATTTATAGGGTTGCATAATAATTATTTTTGTTTTAAGTTTAAGATAATATTAAGAGTTGTAAAATATTTTTTTTAATATCAGAGTCAACAATATTTTCAAGTAATGAAAAATTTATTATAAATGCAAAGTTAATAATAAATATTAACGATTAAAATTTATAAAAAAAGGCGTTTTATCAAAAGCGCTTGAGAAATATGTGTGATAATAAGAAATTCAAAATTAAAATTCTAAAATGAATCTGATTTTTACTTAAACTGTAATAGTTATCATCTTTTTTATTTTTATAATATAGTTTTTAAAGTAAAAACTATATTATAAAATGATAATTGAGTCATTTAAAAATATTTTTAAAGTTCAAAATTTCATTTGAAAAGTGTCTATAAGGGTAAATTTATTGATTCCAATTCTTTCTGACAAAATATTTTGTGTTAGGAATACTAATTTGCCTGGTTTCTCAGTTCCTAGCCAATATCTATTGTTTAAAAGACCAAATAGTATTTTTTTAAATTATTATTTAGTCTTTCAAATAAAATGAAATCAGATGAAATAAAAGCAGTAAGTAGCGGATCAACCACTTTCAGCAATTTATTAGATTTACACCAATAACAGAGTTTTATAGTTGGAACAATCTTATCTTGGATTGTAACTTTTTTTTTCCTTTTTAAACTAATTCACTCCCAACAAGTCTGCAAACAACGGCTATTCAAGTTGGAGTTACAGTTTATTTTGCCATTACATTACAGCTCTGTATTTCTGTATTCAATATGGTTCTGTATTCAATACAGTTCTGTATTTCTGTATTCAATATGGTTCTGTATTCAATACAGTTTTGTATTTCTGTATTCATGAATGGTTCTGCAAGGTAATAAAATTATAAAAAATAAAATATTGTAGATAAGGATTATATTGAACTGCAAGTGGGAAATAATAGTTGTTATGAGAAATACAATACTAGTGGTATAAGACTTACTGCCAAAAAACTTGAATTTTCGTGACATTTCATTTTTTTGGTTCTTTAAAAAACTGTGATAATTGGAACCTGGGAACAAAAACTGCCCCACAAATAAGAGCAAAAAGTTAATTTTTACTATTCTCGACTAAATTTGAAATCATCGATAAATTTTAAATTTCATGCAATATTCTCTTAGTGTTCAAAAATAATGACTATATAAAGTTTGAACCCCACAAATATAACAAAGTAACAAATTTTATAAAGTAAAAATTTAAAATATTTTTTTCAAATTTTATGTCATAACTTTTGAGTATGAAAAGACAGATACAGTAAAAGAATTCAGTAAAAGAATGCAACTTTACTGAATGACGAGTCAAGCAAGAATAAGTTTTGGTGAATGAAACTAGAGATTATAGCTCGTTTAATCAGCAGACCAGAATTGTATTTGTAAAAGAGTAAGAAATGCAACCTTGTAACAAATACAATAGTGGCTCAAGCTAGGCAGAAAGAGCAAGTCACAGTATATTTACAATATGCTTTCGGACTTTGTCAAGAAAAGGAAGGGCATCTTTAAGAGCCAGCCCAAATATGACATTTATATTCTACACAGGGGCAAATATGAGGTTTATAAATGTAGAATATGGAATCAGGAGTAAGAAAATGGCCAGGGCAATATAGAAAAGCATTCTTAGCAAATGTTAACTTTGCGATTGATTGTATATATAGTTTCCATGAGATTTAGTCAATTATAATCTGAGATGTAAAGAAGTAGACTCAGTATGAGTTTGTAAAAAAGTTATAATAAAAGATTAATTTAATACTTATATCTCTTATATTTTATTATTGAATTTGACCCCTCCCCCCTCGTCACAACATCGTAACTCTAAAGCAAGAGAAATGATCAAAAACAAGATATCAACAAAAATAATGAAAAAATTGAGTGAAGCTGATGTAGGGTTAATTATTTTGTCAATGATATGTGCAAGAAATGATGACATATGCTAGAATTGCCAATAAACTTAAAGAGCTTATTATAAGAAAAGCAATGTATTTTTTTTAATTGAAAAGGTTACACAAAAATATTTTTTTATTGAATTAACTGATATTGGATCATTATTTTAAATTAAAATAACAGTCAAATATTAGTTATCAAAATTTGTGATGATAAATTTATGATGTTGCGATGATATATTTTGTTATTTTGATTTATATAGCAACCAAATTTTTGAGATGTTATTTAAATTTTCAAAACACAATAAAAAAATTTATGCTTTATGTAAAAAGTTAGAGAAAACACAAGCAAAAAAGACTGATAATGACTAATTTAGAAAATTTTTATATAGCATTCAAAACTGAGCACTAATATAAATGGTTGAGTTTTTAGGCTTGACAGTCTTCACCCAAAAAGGTGTAGTACAAATATATTCTCACAGTGTTTGTTTGTATACATCATCAGATTATCAAGTTGTTATTGATACTAAAATTGACTTAGGAGATTTAATGGGAATGATTGTTTGCAATTTTGATAATGCAGGCTGCATTTGGCATAAATGTCTTTTATATCCTGGTACTAATGCTTTAAAAGAATTCTTAACAGCAAATTTTAAATTTAGCATAAAAGAAGTAACAATAAACCAATCCATTTACTCACAAAGTGTGATTAAAATCACAAAGTGTGATTAAAAGCTAAGGTTAATGCGCAGTGAATTTTGTAGTGCATGTGTTAGTTTTGTGTATTGTATTTTTATTAATATGTAAATTTTTTTTAAATAAATTAAGTATATTATTTTTTAGATAAAAAAGTTGCATCTCCCACCAGTTTAACTGTAAGTTTTTCAGTGTATTTTTAGTTACCATCTTCTTTAATTTTATGCTCATTTACTTACATTTAAAGCTATTTGGTTTCTTTACATAGTTGTGTTCAATTGTATTTTTAAACATTGCTTTTGCATTTAAACATTTTAAATTTTGAGTTATAATATCTGTTAACTTAAGTTAAAAGTTATCAAAAAATTAAAGTTAAAATGTGTCAACTTAGATTGAAAATTTTAATTTAAGTTAAAAAATGTTTACTTAAGTTTTAAAGTTAAGATTTCAATATAAAAAGTTCAACCTATTCTTTTTATATTTGTTCATTAATATTTACAAAAATTATTTTAAAAGAAGTTTTACATTTCTTAGAGCAATACAACTTCTGGATGTGATTCTACATGTAACAGTCCAGCATCCCTATTAGGTTAAAGTTATTTTGTTTTATAAATATTAAAGTATGATGTCTGATTTTTTGTCTGTTAAAAGAGCGATATTTTGTAATATTGCTATTGTCTAGTTAACTACATTCACTATTTGAAGCCCTAGGGTACTAGGTACTAGTACCTAGGGTACTAGTAGCTAGGATATTACTATTTGTCTTAAAGGCTGTTTATTTTTTTTTAATTTTTATGTATTTTTTTTCTAATTGCTGAAATTATTTGCTGATTCCTTTAAACATTAACAAGCTGCAGACTTTTGTTGTTGTATTTTATGTATTTGTTTAAAAAATATACCTATAAACTTTAAAAACAATTAAATAAATAAAATGTGCTAGGTGTTGATATTGGTGGCAGTTATATATCTAATGATATGCACCCTAGTAACAGCATTGATGATCTAAATCTACAAGGTATATTTTATTTATTAATTTCAGCACAGATAATAAAAATCTTGGTAGAGTAGAATTTCTGAAATCTTAAGAAGACTATTTGATTCACGATAAGTTATTGTATTGTTAAGGCTATATACTGTTTTTGCAACAAATCATTAAATAGATTCAATGTATTACTATTATATTGCAAAAGAAGTTTTCATGGTAACTGTTTTTAGTGATTTACATGTATTCATTGTTCTCCTCTAATACTTGTTGATGGGTCATTAGCAAAGAGCTATTGAGTTAGAATTACACTATTTAACTTTATGTTTCATTTAATTTTGAAATATTAAATGAGGTCAACTCTTTCTAATCTTAGAATTAATAATCATTTTTGATTTGTGCTTGAGATCTGGTACAAGTTTTGTGGCTTTTTGCTGAACTTTTTATCTAATTTTATGTGTATGGTTTCCAGACCACTGTTCAGACTTCCAGACTGCTATCTAGACTTCCAGACTGGTTTTAATTCTAGTTAGTATACTTAAACATTCCGAAATGAGTCAGTGGAACCAATATTTAAATGTGCATTTCAATGTTTAGAGTAAGCTTTATTTGTTATCATTGGGATGTTGTCTTTCCATTTGTTGCTTATATTGATACTATTATAGTCCTATTTGTTTTACTATTATAGTTTTATTTGTGTGATGTTTCAGATAAGTCTAAAATTGTTTCATCATGGGTAGTTATTTTAAGTGGGGTAGTTTGATTTATTTTTTCAATTAATTTACTTGATTTGCTCCTGTTAAATTTCATGATTTTACAGATTTTGTTATTTAGTTTCATGCTCCAATTTTTTATCCAATAAACTATTGACATCATCTTGTAGTATTTATTGATCTTGATATTAGGGTGTGTGCAAAATAATTAGACGCTTTAATTTTTTTGTTCATATGTTTTGTTCCTATATATTTCTATATATTACATCTACATTTAACTATTATGCACACATATATAGATATGCATGTATACAATGTATATACATATATGTTTTAATTTTTTTTTATTTTTTAATATTTAAAATATTAAATATTTAAAAAAATCCAAAAATCCAAAAAAACATATTAGGCATTGTATAATACATGAATACCAAAAGAGTATCCATGTATTATACAATGAATACTCTTATGGTATATACCGAGATGTGAGCTATTGCACATTTCGAGCATTCTGCTCAAAATTTGCAATAGCTCTTATCTTGGTGTTACATGCTATACCATCAAATTGGTTTCAACCTTTCAATGAAAATAACAGCTTGGTTTGAAAATAAGTTTGAAACTATTTTAAAGAGAAATATGATATACATTAATAAAAAAATTTTCTCAGAAAATGTTAAAGTTATTTGCAAACATTGGAATGACATTAACAATCTAATGTGTCAAAAACTTTAAATCATCTTTCAACTATTTACAAGAAAAACTTATAACTGACAAATATATATTTACTTGACTCTGAAGTCTCTGAAACATTTAACACATTTTTTACAACTGATGCTCATAAACTCACATCGAATATTTGTCCTAAGTCAACTATCAATAGTATCTTAAATATATAAATTTACTGCTATTATCTTCAACAAATGTTCTCAAAATTTTATCTCTTGTATCGAATTTGAATCCTAAAAAACCATTAGATTCAAATGCAAATCTTTTATAGATTTAAGTTATAAATTTTTAAATATTTTTTTTATAAACTATTTAATATCTCATTCCTAAATATCTTATGTTCTTCCAATATTTTTTTGCACTAAGTATAGACCTATTCTGCTTTTATATAACATTAGTTTTTTGACTTATCTATTCTAGAGTGTATTCTTTTATAAACTCTTTTAACTGTTTAAATGAATTTTACTACTTTCCACATTAATTAGTATTCTATTATTAGTTTCTACTTTCCACATTGATTAGTATAACTTAAAAAAAAAAAGTCAGAAAAGCTCATGATACTGTTCATGTTGCTAGTGGTGTTATGTTTTTATCATTTACAAAAAGCTTTTGTTATTTTTGACCATAATATTTTTTTTTCTAAATTAAGACAAATTATTGAATTTGCGGTGTTGTATACTACTGATGTCAATCTTATCTTTCAGATCAGAAAGCAATTTGTAAGTAATAACGGCTTCAATTCCAGTACCTAATGGCTTTAATTCCAGTGATAAATCTGTTTTGTGAGGTGTTTCTCAAGTTTTTGTTTTTTGGCCTCTTCTGTTTTTAATTTGCAGTAATGAGCTAACCAACTGTTTACTTGTCAGTTTGTCTGTTTGCTGATAATACAAGTCTCTTGCACATCAACAAAACTGAACATTCTCAGAAAAAAAAATTATAAAAAAAGTTTCAATTATTAAAAATATCATAATAGTTAGTAAAAATATTTGGATCTAAAAGGAATAGTGAATTTTAAGAGAAAAAATTTCTACAACAATGTTAAAATTAAAGTAAATAATTCTCTAAATAAAACTTTACCATCTTCCATTACAAATTTTTTTACAGAAAGTACACTAGTACATTCATACTCAACTAGAAATATATCTAATAGAAATGTGCAATCTTATAAAATTCAGAAGTTAATAAGCATTCTATTGTCTATAAGTGCCTTAGTGACTCGAACAGGAGCCTTGCATACATTATAAACGAGTTCAAAAAACTACAACTTCAAACACCTTTATTATCTTTTCTTCGTGTTAAACAAAACTTTTAATTTCTACATGTTTATCTTTTTAATGTATGTTCTGTCTATGTGCTTATTACTAGTGATATTATATTTAAAAATTAGAATGCCGTTACTTTTAATGTCACTGCTTACATCAGACTTTTATATGATTGACGCCATACTTATAAATTATTAACTTATTTTTATAAATAATATTACATCTTATAATAATATTTTTTGTTATTAATTTTTTCTAATTTACTATTATTGCAGTAATTTTTATTACAACTATAATTTGTATTAACTATCTTATACTTTTATAATTATAGTTATAGTTTTTTATCAGTATTATAATTATTTTTATTATTATTTATACTATTATTATTTGTATTATTGTTATCATTATTATTATTATTATTGTTATTATTATTATTATTATTATTATTATTATTATTATTATTATTATTATTATTATATTCCTATTGTAAAATGATTATTAATGGAAAATAAAATGAAAAACATTTTTGCTGTTGTTTATTATTGCTTAAAATAAGGTATTAATATATTCCTCCGAATATATTAATACCTTATTAATTTCGACTCCAAATAAGCAATATCAATGTTTAGGCATTTGTACTTTTTTGCTATTGAAAAAGTGTACTATGAGATGGCCTGGCAATTTTATTAAAGGTTATGACTATTTTAATTACAATAGAAATGGTTTAGTCCTACTCAAAAGCTATAACCAACTCCAAAACCTCAACTTCATCCAAAAAAGTAATGGTTTCAGTGTACATACTGTTGCATATTGGGAGGTCTATTATGCCCAATTAAGAAATCTTAAACAAAAACTCTCAACTGATCATCAAAGTAACACAAAAAAAATTTTCTCAATGACAACACTTGACCACATGTCACAAAATCAACTTGGCAAAGTTATTGGAATTAAACAGGAAAATATTACCTCATCTGACTTAGCCCTGACTAGTTTTTGCTTGTTTCATTTGTTAAGCAACAATTTGGTGTAGATTTTCATGATGATGCTAAATCTCAAAGCCTGAGTGCTTCCCAGCCTGAGGACTTCTTTTCACAGGGCAATTCTTTTTCTATTCTTTGCATACATGTTGGCAAACAGTCATAGAAAGTTATAAATCATGTTGAATTGGTTAACTTTTATTTGTTTATATTTTATTAGAAATATATAAAAAATGCAAGTGTCTAATTATTTTTGGTTATGGCAATTAATTTTCTGTCTGAGTAGGACTGTGAAGTATTACAGGCATGTCATAAAACTTTTTCCCATGGTACACCAGTTAATACTGGAAGCCATTCAGATATTTCATTATTAATTACAACCCTTTATTATCTGTTTCAGAGGAAGTTTAAGTAGTTTATTTGTCAAAACCAAAAAAGTTTTTATTTTTGTGGTTTATGATCTACTGTTTACCAAAGTGAAGGTCACATCACTAAAGCCTAAAATCCCTTGTTTCAAATATCAATGATTGAATCTATTGATTCAAGTAAATTTGTGGCTACTGATTTGCCTTTTTAAAACCTTTTTAAAAAAGTTATTCTTCAGAAATTAAGTCATGTGAATTTAAGTAATTTGTTATGCCATCTTTGAATATTTTAAGCATGATTTTAATGATGACTGGCGATGATTGGTTGATAGTTTGTTGGGTTGTTTTTTTTGCCTTTTTTTAGAACTGGTGTAATGTTTATTGGTTTCCGTAATTGTGGGGCTACACCAGAATTATTTGCTTCAATCAATAGTAAACTAAGTCGGCTAAGAGTAGTTTTTTAAAGTATAAGAAAAAATTGAATTGATTTGATTGAAGCATTGATTCTAGATGATTGGTTTTTGTCTTATAAATCTAGTTTTATTTTGACGTAAGATGATATAAGGTTACTGATGGACCAGTTAATTTACTAAATGCTTCATAAAATTGTTTATTTAGACAATTATCCATGATTCGGTTTGTTACAGGATGGGGCTCTCAGTGGCTGGTGAACTTTAACCCAAACTCAAATTTTTTCAGCTATAAAATCATTATTGCAACAATCTAGATCTTCTTATATATATATTAACAGTAATGTACTTGATTAGTCATCTACTCTTTGCCTTATAGGAATAACTGTTACTTCCAATCTTTTTTGGAAACCATATACATGTTTTTTTTATAAGCATATAAAATTTTTGAAACAGGCTCGGGTATGCTTAAGCAAAAAGTTAAAAGAAGCTCAAAAATATGCTTAAACTTAAGCATATTTATAATAAAATATGCTTATTTCAATACTTTCTAAAAATGCGTGCCTTAATAAAGGTTAATGGTTATAAGAAAAATAAAAAGTCGACTTTTGTACAGTATAATAAAAAATATATACTATATACAAATTTTATCAATGAAATAATAAAATAAATAACATTTGAAATAAATGAAATAATAAAATTAATAAAATTTGAATTTTTTAAATGGTTTATCGAGGCTCAGGAATATGCTTACATATGCTTATTTTTTTTCCAAATCTGAGCCTCCATATGCTTATAAACATTATGCTTATAAAAAAAAAAAATCGTGCTTGTCACTTTCTTACTCCAGATTCTTTAACTCTATAAAACTCAAATTCGGCCTTGTATCTGAATATTTGAAACAAAAATTTAAATACTATATCAGAATATTTCTAGAAGGATTTCATAAGATATGATAACTGTCATAGTATCCATTTATTAATTGGACAACTCTTTAAAACATTACTGCATGTATTGAAGCTTTATTTAAACTTAGATTTAACTTGTTGTGCGACACTATTTGAAGCATAAGAAAACTTAGCTGGATTGTTGTTTGATTGCAAAGCAAGTAATTTTCATAAAAACAACAGAAAAGAGGACAAAATTTTTAAAAAAGTATAACATAAATAAAATCATTAAAATAAAAATATGCTTATCGTGCTTCCATTCCTTTTAATTGAGTTATCTTAAAGTTAAAAATTAATTAAAATTGAACATCCAGTTAAATAAGTATTATTCTATTGAGTGGGTATTTTTTGTCAATATGTTGTTTTCTAACAATGTTAGAAATTTCATAGCATGATGTTTCATTAAATTTTACAACTGTGCTGCTGCTGCTAGAGTATCAATACTTAATCTCGATTTTTCACTGGTCCAGAAATCATTACCAATTAAAAACACTTTTTTGACTGCTGCATTAGTACCAAAGTAGCTCAACACAAGTTCAGCAAGAATAGTTAAATTTTCATATGGAATGTGTCCAATTTTTGAAGTGATTAAATATTTCCATCCTTTTTTTTTTTTTTTTATCAATTTCAACATATTCATTTTTCCATTATTTTAATTTATCTGAATTTAAATATAAATTTATTCTTGTTATCTCATCATACTGACATTGTCATTGATTTTAATATAAGGGATTTCATTTGATAAAAACTCATCACACTTTTCAATATCTACCCAATAAAAATGTGAATTTACAAAACATCATTGAAAACTGTTCTATCCTGTGATGGAAGCATATTTAGTAAAAATGCACTTCTTCAGTAAATTTATCTCTTATCCCAGGATTTGGTTCTTCTAAATTTGATTTTTTTTTTTTATCAATATGGGATAACTATCTTTAAGTCCTGATTTATATTAAAAGATAAAATCATTTAAAATTTTTCTAAATTTTAAAAATATGAGCTGTGGAGTTTAAATAATTTTAAAACACGCTTGATAGCAGGTGTTTAAATAAGCTATTTAACTTTCGAATATCCTAAATGCTTTTTGTACCCATCATTTGATTCAGATAAAATCGTTACAAATCATTCATTTTTTAAGTCTATCAGAGTATCTTTTAAATACTGATTTAATGATAACTTCACATTTTGTACTAGCACATGAAAATTTTAAATTTTTTCATTAATTAAAGTGCAGTTTAAAACTTCTAAAACTTTGATTATGATATGCAAATGTTTCCTCCATCACAGCTAACTGTTTTTCACCTTAGGAATAATTAAGAGTTTTTAAAAAAATTTGTTACTTTACTAGTGGAAGCTAAAGCATCTAATGATTTCTTATGTTTATTTGTGTTTAAGTGTTTTATAATAGCCTACAACTGCAATACAAAATTCTCCTCTGCAAATATTACAAAAAGCAATGGTTTCACTCTTTGATATGAGGAATGCAAATTTGTTTTGCAATTGATCATTGAAATGATATTTTCTCATGTTTGATTTTTCTATTCCTTAAATGAATTAAAATAATTATAATAATCTAAAAATAATATAATTAAAAAATGAATTTATGAATAAAACATACCGATTCTAATTACTCTAGTAAATTATTTGCTAATATTAAAAAAAACACACACACATTTAATACTAGTTAAACGATTGACTAGCTAGCTCCAGACCTAAAATAATTATTTAATTTTTTTTTCTTTCTATAATCCTTAGGTACACTAGAGGCAAGTTTTTTGCATTACAGCAATCAAAAATCAAAAAAAAATTTAGGCCTACCTTTATATATATATATATATATATATATATATATATATAATATATATATATATATATATATATATATATATATATATATACACACACACACACACACACACAATTTATATAATTTTTTGCTGGTTTAATTTTATTTTGTCATCTATAAAAAAAAAAAAGAAAAGAAAAAAAATATTTTGCAAATATCCAAGGAGTTTATTTTGGATTTTATTATTTCAATTTACCCTTTCAATATAATCTTAATATATTCTTATATATTATAATATATTCTTTCAATAATTAGTTCTAAATGCATTATTAAATAATTTTTGCAAGTTTTTGAAAAAAAAAAGATAAATTTTATTTCACTTAGACTTATATTTATTAAATGAAATTATTAGACTATTTTTATAAGCAATTTGACTATTTTTATTTGTTTTTAATTTCTTTTGCTTGTGTTTATGCTAATAATAATTTTATTTATATTTCTTTTAGAATTGTTAGATGAAGGAATAGGATATGATGTGAGATTTTAATGCTTAATAATTATAAAATGATTTTTTGTTCGTTTTGGTAACATTTTTTTATTTGAATTTCTTATCAAAATTAATATTGCTAAAAGAAAAGTTCATATTGTTGTTAATTTTTTGAAACTTAGATAATAAATGATGGTTATTTGTTATGTTGATGTTATGATGGTTATTTGTTATGTTGATGTTATGATGGTTATTTGTTATGTTGATGTTATGATTGTTAGCTGTTATAATTGTAAGAGGTGTTATCAAATAATTTTTATTTCGCTTTTTTAAATATATTTTATAAACATTTAAAAGATTAGTTAAAGAATAATTTGTTAATTTGCTATTTATAAACAGGCTAAAAAGTTTTAGAATATAGCATAAATATTTATGGAGTTTTTTTTAATCTTTTCAATTTTCAAAATTAAGAGTCAAATTTTGAAGAAAATTTAATGAGAAACAAAAATAAACTACACCCCAGGCCCCAGTAAACTTAATTATTTTTTGTATAAAATAAGAGCAGGGTTGTCAAAATACCAAAAAGTTACAAACTCAGTTAACTGAGTTTACTGTCTGGCGTGTAGCTTTTTGGTATTTTGACAACTTCTAAATTTTATTAACTTGGTACTTATCATATAAGGAAAATAATCACTGATCATTTACTATTTTTCTAATATTTTTCTTTATATGAAAAGTGCCGGGTTAATAACAAATTTTTCTTATATGATTTATATTATTTTTTTAAGTGCCAGGTTGTCAAAATCTAAAAACGCTACATGCCAGGCAGTAAACCCAGTTACTATTTTTCTTTTATAATAAGTGTTGGGTTGATAAAATATAAAAAAACTGCATACCAGACAGTAAACTTAGTTATTATTTTTATAAAATAAGTGCCGGGTTGTCAAAATATGAAAAAGCTACGCGCCAAATATTAAACTTAATTATTTATTTTCTTATATGATAAGTGTCAGGTTAATAAAATTGTCACGCAGTAAACTTAGTTACTATTTATCTTATAAAATAAGTGCTAGGTTGTCAAAATATAAAAAAACCATGCTAGGCAGTAAGCTTGGTCTTATTTTTCTTATATAATAAATGTTGGGTTGATAAAATATGCAGACACTAAATTGGCAGGCAGTGGACTTAATAATTTTTTATTTTATTTTAAAAGTACTGGATTGTTAAAATAAGTAAAACCTCAGGCAATAGATAAGGTAATTTGTTAAGTGGTAAAATAATATCGTTGAATAGGGTAAGTAACCAATTAATGGCCACAAATTTCTTAAAGATAGCTGTGAAGGATGCCTTAATGTAATAGTGAATTTTTTTTTTTTTTTACTGTTTTATTAATGGCTAGCACCTACACCATTTTAGAACTTTTTTCAGTTTTAAAACATACTTAATTCACAGTAAAATCTATTTAAACAGAGATTTTAATTGTGTAGCAATTAATGGCCGGGTAGACCAAATAGTAGCTAGTAAATTAGGAAATGGCGCCTATTATGAGCCACTTATGTTACCTATAATTGATATATCTAACAATGCTTTCAGTTTATTTGTGCCTAATTCTACTTCAAAATCGACTTCTATTGCATTTTCAAATCTTGTTATTCTAGTTTCAGTTTTGAATGGGTGCACACTTGATTCAAGCAGATCATTCTTGTCAAGTAGTTGATCTATAGAATAGACAGAATTAGGTAAGTAAGCTGTGCTTGAAAAAGCAGATGGATAAATACCACATGATCGAAACCCTGAAATAATATTGTCAGCTTTGAGGGCTTGATCCCAGGCTTTCTTAAAAAGCCCACAAATATTTAACTTGTCAATACTAACTCCAGGATATTCATTCATTAATTCCTGACATGTTTGATTATAGTATGTTTTAAGAGGACTAAATACTGTTCGATCTAGAGGCTGGTGCCAATTGGAACAATGTGCTGGCATTTCCACAATGTGAATGTTATTTTTGTTTGCAGCAGACAATAGCTCAACAGAGTTATGAGAATTACATACATACATACATACATACATACATACATACATACATACATACATACATACATACATACATACATACATACATACATACATTGAGTATATATATACACATAGTTTATATATAAACTATAACATTTATAAGTTTATAATATAGTCTACACAATAAAATAAACTATTGTCCTAATAATAGCCACATCAGCTACAAATAAGAGCCGTGGCTCTTGTTTGTTCAAACAAGTATTATTATTATTATTACAAGCTATTATTAAGACCTATTTGAAATCTGAGAGTTTAGGTTATATTTATGCTTCTGTCTATCGTATATTGACCAACAAAACAGTTTACATAGTATTATTAAAGTAACACAACAGCTCAAAATACACCAAAAACCCATAACTGAAAAAATATTGCTTTAAATGCGTCTCAAAGTTGTTCAGATATTGCTTTAAATGCGTCTCAAAAAAAAAAAAAAAAAAAATTATTACTGACGGTATAAAATATTTACTTAAATTAACATTGACAAAAAAAAAGTTTTTTAAAAATCAAGACTGAATGAAACGTTTATAAACGTTAGAACAAAACAGATATATAAAAGAAACACAAAATTGTATTCATCAACCAGATAAATGCTCCGTTAAATAAGTAAATGCAATAAAATTGTACTCAAATTTGGCTTTTAATAAGACCCGGCCATTATTAGGGCACTTGGCCCTATATATGATCCATCCTGCAACTATTGCAAAAACCAAAATTTTGTTTTAGGTACTTTTTGTAAGTTAGAGCATTTTAAATGGCTCCACAACAAACAGCAATCGCAGCAAATGCTGTCTTCTTTATCTTGCACTATTCTGCTACAAATCAAACAAGTCGTTTGCTGCTTTTTTTTGTTATCAATGGTAAATTTTACAACTTGCCGTCCTGTAAGCTCAAAGTACATTTTTACTATTTTGATATCTAAAGATTTCTCATCGTGAAGAGAATCTGGCATAGAAATTAATTTTTTCAAGTCTAGCGAACAAATTAGCTTTTCCCTGTGTAATTCTACAGCTGGAACATCTACCATACACCTTAAAATGAAAATTTCTTTTTCTTTAGGCAACAGTTTAATATAAGGTATTGATTTTATAGAATGCTTTTCTTTAGGGATGCCAATTACTGTTGTATCAGCTGTTTTTGGTCTGCCTTTCTGGTCTGGTTTTCATTTTTGGAGGCATCAAAACTTCTTAAAGATCAAATTTTTGAGGACTTAAGGGAACAATTTTATCCAGAAATAGGGAGGAATTTATGTGTTCCTTTTAACTGATTGAGTATGATCCTAATAATGTCTGTTTTGGTAACATCTTTATCAACTTTAATTTAGTCAACATCATGTTCCATAAAACTATTATTTGTCAACACCCTTACTTCATCTCTTTTTTGCCATTAAAAGGCTTAAAATAGCCAATTTTAGTTTTTCTTGCCTTTTTTTAAAAGGTTATCATATCGCCCTTGCTTTCGAAAGAAGTTAATAGCTAATAAGTTTTTAATTAACTTTAATATTTTTGTGTCTGCGTAAAGATTTGATCGGTTTAACATCAAATTCAGAAAAAAATTTCAACACTTGAAGTAATTTTTGAAAAGTCTTTTGCCTTAAGAGATTGATTATAATGCTCCTTAGTCCTTAGATCAAACATAATAAGTAACAAAAAATTGTGCAGTTAGATTAAATGATAACTTGGTAATCCCTTTTTTGACATTGCAATTGCAAGCATCTTTAGACAAAATCAAAGATATGGAATTTTTTAAGATGTAATTTCTGGTATTATCTGTTTTTTCAAAATTAATGGTTAAACTTTTTTTTTTTTAAACTGGGAAATAACAAATGAAAAAACAAAAGGTGTTAAATGTTCCCTGTATGTCATTATATTAGGATGAAATGGTACAGTTATATCTCAACTTGTCACAAAATAACTGTTTGGTGATGATGATTCTTATCATTCCTGATTGCCCCAAGAAATGCAGAAGTTCTATAAAAAATTGCATCATGTATGCTTTGTACAATCCAACCTTAATTTGTTAAACATCGATTCCAGACGATTGTTTGTTGTTTCTCAAAGGTTAAAATGAAGGTTTTTATAAGTTGCTACCTATTGGTGTTTATAGGGTCCCAATTTTTCATGAAATATTTTGCAGTTATTTTGTATCTAAAGGCTTTTGTTTTTTACATTTTGTTCGTAATCAAAAGTTGACTTTGTATAAGTGATTGCTTGAATTATTTCCAGACAACGATATCTTTCTGCTGAAATGATACCAATTTTCTAACAAGTAATTTCTTTTCCAAAAGAGGGTAAACTGTAAAAAAAAAATGACCATAAATATGAAGCAAATAATTTGTCACAAAATATTTAGACTAAAAAAGTTACTTAATCAACGTTCCACTAAACTTGCAAACAAACTGTAGAGTTTGCTAATGCAATGTCATAGTAGCTAATGCAATTCGTTTAGGAGTTCTCTTTAGCAGCTTATATAGATCTTACTCTATTTATTACGAGTTTAAAATTATATTTTGCCTCATAGTTAGTTTTACAAGCCTCGACCAATTCAATGTTAGAAAATTTTTGTCCCACTGTCTATATAACCTCATAATTTTTTTACGTTAAAAAGAAAAACTTCAGAGTATAGTATAAAATCATTAATTTAAAAGCAAAAACAAACATCTACATCTAAAAAATTATATTTCTAATTACATTTATTCCACTTAAACAATTGAGGGAGACTAGTTCTTTTTCATTATTTGTGATCTGAAATTTAAATTATTTGTTAAACGCCACAATGTAGTTAATAGCACTTATAATATATTTTAATATAAAAAATTACAAATTTTATTATCAGTCGTAGTAGCAAAGTTGCTACTTCCATTTTTATAATTAACATCACTGACTCTTTTGCATCATCTGTTATTATTCTATATTATTATTGGGTTTCAATATATATAATTGGAAATTAATAAGCGTATTTAAAAAAAAATAATTTCAATTTAATTATTAAAATTGTTTTGTTGTTCCATTTTATCAAAACATTGGTGCTGGTGTTGTTTTGAATTAATTTCAGTGACCCAATGGTGATTCGATAATATAAACTAGAAAAATTATAGCATACTCTGAGTTCCAATTACAATTTTTTTATTTAGAGTAGTGATTTTCAATCATTAACATTACCTGACATGACAGCACCACTTCAAGGTAACTGACTTTACCTTTCTTTGTTTTGATTTTTTAACTTTCTTTTTAATCTTTTCTTTTTTTGTTTTTTTTTTTTTGTTTTGTTTGATTTTGAAATATTTAAAATTATATGTATATATATATATATATATATATATATATATATATATATATATATATATATATATATATATATATATATATATATATATATATATATAAATTTATTATATATATAAATTTATTTTATATATATATATATATATATATATATATATATATATACATATATATACATATATATACATATATATACATATATATACATATATATATATATATATATATATATATATATATATATATATATATATATATATATATATATATATATATATATATATATATATATATATATATATATATATATATATATATAGCATCTTCACTTTCATAAAGGCTGCAAGTAACCACTATTAGAGTTATTGGAAGTTATTGGAAGAGAAAAAATGAAGTTTATAAAGCAACATAACTTACCAGTGGAGCACCGTAAAAGAATTAGACTTAATTGAATGATGAGTAACACAAGAATGATTTTCAGTAGATGGCACAAGAGACACTAGCCCTTTAAAGCAAAGCTTATTATAGTATTCAAAGGAAAAAGAAAAGAGAAGCTATTACAACGATGTGATAATGGTTAAAGGTTGGATGCAAGAGCAGGTCCAACTATGTTTACAATGCGTTTTCGCAACTTGTCTAAAAAAGAGGGCATCATTTAAAAATCCACTCTAGATATGATAACAGTATCCATACAAGGACGGCTTGGAGATTTATAGAGAATAGAATTAAGTGTAAGAAAGAGGTGAGCACGAAAAAGAGATGAGCACAATAAAGAGGTGAAACCTTAGCAGGTGCTAATTTTGCACCTGCTAATTTTGATATATGGTTTCCAAAATAGATTTGAAGTAACAGTTAATCCTAGAAGATGAAGAGTAGATGACTCATCTAGTACATTACCATATATAAATATAGGAAGATCTAGATTGTTGCAATAACGATTAGCTGAAAGAAATTGAGTTTTATCTGAGTTAAAGTTCACCAACCACTGAGAGCCACATGTTGTAGCAGAAGTGAGATCTTTTTCAAGCTCAAATGCCCCCTTCAAACAATCAGAGAGTGTTGACTTCTTATCAAGACAAGAATAAATGGTAGTATCATCAGCAAACAATGCCACCATAGATGTGTGATTTTCTAGGAGATTTTCAATGTAAATTAAAAAAAGTATTGGGCCCAGGATAGAACCTTCAGGAACCCCTTAAGTTACAGTAAATGAAGAAGAGTGCTGTCCATAAAGGAAAACTTTTTTACTGCAATAGGTAAGGAAGAATTCAATAGTCTTAAAGATGTTACCTGATACACCATAAGAAAAGAGTTTATGGAGAAGACTAGCATGCCAAATTTTAACAAAGGTTTTAGAAATGTTGAGAGTGATAGCCTTAATCTCTCCACATCTATGTAATGTATGCTAAAACCTATTGTTTTTACCGTTAACAAACCAGCACTAAAATAAAAAGATCGAAATTCATATTGATGATCAGAAAGTATGTTATTAGATTTAAGATGAGAGATTAAATCTTTTTAATGAGGCAACTAAACTTGCTGAGAAATAGGTAACCATTAAAAACCATTAAAGATAAAATAATAATTAAACATGGTTCTTTAATAGTGAGCAAAAAGAAAAAAAACATCAAACAAACCACTGTTCTTAAAAAGAACAGTGGTTGTTTGATGTTGCAATGGGTGCTTTTGACGGCACAGAGGTATATGAGCCTGTCTAAATTTTTCCTCTTTTCAGCTATCCCAGCATTATTAACAGATTTTAGCTTATAACGAGGTGATGTGTTTGTGGTTTTTAAAAATGCTGGTGGCAACCTCATGGATACATCAAAAAAACATTTAAATTTTTAAAAATAACAAACTTATCTCTATACAATCTAACACGAAAGTTGTGAACTTTCTTAATGTAATACTTTGTGACTAATATCATCTGTGTAAAAAGGTTATGATTACTACAGATGTAGTTATATCTTTTTAATTATCTAATTGTAACAATATCTGTGCAACTACATCTAGAAATTTTACAGATGTAGTTACATATTTTCAATTATATTAAATATAACTACAAATAATGCATTATAATTTAATAATTTATGAAATTATTAAATTATAATGCATTATTTAAACCAGATGTAGTTTCATACATGGTTTTTTTCAGATGTAGTTTTAATATCATCTGGAAATTCAATGACCCCTAAAAATATTTTTAGGAAGATTTAACAACATCTAGTAATTTTTCGGAAAAAAATTACCAGATGTTAAATCTTCCTAAAAATGTTGTTAGGGGTCATTGAATTTCTAGATGATAACGGACAGATGTTATTGGAGTAAAAAAAAATACAGGTGTTCTTGGACAAAAGTAGTGTACACATGATCTTGGACAACTCTACAGATGTTGGACAGAGTTTGTAATCTTTTACCATTGTACTGAACATTTGTAGAGTTGTCCACTTTTGTACTGAACATTTGGTTGTTGTACTAAATATTTAGTTGCTGTACTGATCAGATGTAATGATTTCACTATTAACTTTTTATAGATATTTACAAACTAATAATTTTAGTATTCTTTTTTTTTTTTATTTATTTACGCATTTTAAGGATAAATAAAAAAATATCATTTAATGATACTTACAGTATTATAAAAAGTAATTATTTTCTTTTCTTACAATAACTTTTTTTTTCTCATTCACAGTGTATTTTATATATATATATATATATATATATATATATATATATATATATATATATATATATATATATATATATATATATATATATATATATATATATATATATATATATATATATATATATATATTCCCTTTTTTTCTTTTTCTTTATTCATGGATTATTATTTTAAATTTATAGTTTTCGTTTCACTACTTTTTTACTTAGTTTTATTGTTATGTATTGTTCAAATAATATTTTTTTAGAACAATCTTTGCTTGTCAAACTTTTTTATGGAGAACAGGAGTTTTATCGAAAACTAGTAAATAATCCTAATGGTTTAAGAATCGCTTTTAATCCTCCTACTCTTCTGCCAGAAAATATCATTCCAGAGGAAACATCTAAGTTACGTAGTATATTTGGTCCAGAAAAAGCAGATCAGATTTACTTTCCACCTATCCCTAACGTAATGATAATGAAAATTTTAGAAAACATGCCCCGTGGACTTGTTCTGCAAGAACGTGATGGGTGTATTTATGCGACTCGACTCTGTCGGGCAAGAGTTTTTTACTCAAGCTTGATTCCACCCACCCTTGGAACGAACCAGCTGCTGCGAGAACACACTACCTCCGTTTTTGACTATACAGGCGACTTTCTTCCCAGGCTAAGTTTATTTACTCAAGGAGGAGGATCTATGCCAACTGCCGAAATATATTTTTCATTTGGGCAAACGTGGTCACAAGACCGACCTTTAAAAAACAACTTTGTTTATATTAGCATAACCCATTGTTTGGCACATCAACGTTTGTCAGAAATTCAAAATTTAGGAACTGAGATTCAGGCTTCGGAACCTAACTCTAACGATTTAATTGCTCAGCATTTTGCAGGCTTAAGTATATCCCAAAATTTTTGATTCCTTTTAGAGTTTTTAGTTTTGTTTTTATATATTTTTTTAGTGACATATATATATATATATATATATATATATATATATATATATATATATATATATATATATATATATATATATATATATAGTATATATATATATATATATATATATATATATATATATATATATATATATATATATATATATATATATATATATATATATATATATATATATAAATATAAATTTGCGGCGTCTATCCTGTGCCATTTTTGTTTTGGATAAATTAAAAATTACACACTAGTTTTTAATTACATTGAAAAATATTTAAACAATATCTTATATAAATAATACTATTTGCTGTAAGTGAAAAAATAAATAGACAAACAAATTAAACTTGGCTAAAAGAATTTTGTCAAGTTTTACAAGTATTAAGATTTAGTCATTTTTGTATAAGTTATCAAGTAAATTTTACTCTACATTATCTGACTATTTATTACGTTAATTAAAATTATATCAAGTCAAGCTTCACTGACGTTAAGTAGGTAATATATACTTGTATGCATATATGTGTATATTTATGTGTATATATATCAGGTATTATATATATTTTCCATACATACATGTTTAAATATATATTTTTGTAATATATTTGTTATTTAAGCTTTTTCGCTCACCACACAAAAAAAAATAAAAAGTTTCAATAAATAAAAAATAAAAACAACTCAGCTATAAGGAAAAATATATTCCGGATTTTCCGGATATTTTATTCAAACATTTTTCCGGATTCTAAAATATTACCTGGATATATATATAATATATGATAATATATATATATATATATATATATATATATATATATATATATATATATATATATATATATATATATATATATATATATATATAAAAATATCTGTATGTATGCGTTTTATATATATATATACATCGACATACATATGAATATATTTATATACTTACACATGCATATATATATAAGATGTATACATCTTATACCTTTGTATAGACCTTATACATGTATAAGTATAAGTTGTAATTGACATGATAAATGTTTACATATACGTATCTGTATACCATTTTTTTAAATTTTACTTTAGTAAATAATAATTTACGACAGTTTGATTTTATTATTGGTTTTTTAATATAAATTTTTGCAATATTCATTCTCGCGCATTTCTAAAGAATTTTATTGGTAAAGATATATTAGCTAATTTTGTCATGTCGACACCATTTTGAAATATTTTTTTTTTTTTGAAGTTTGATTTTTAAGCCCTACAACTTAATCTTAATCGCATAAACATGATCAACTTTGTTACATAAACATTCTCAGGTCAATTATACATAGATATATATATATATATATATATATATATATATATATATATATATATATATATATATATATATATATATATATATATATATATATATATATATATATATATATATATATAGTTAAAATTAGTTATATTTTAATACGGTTTCAAATTCATGATTATTGCATTAACTAGTTTTATACGCCATGATGATTTATTACCATTTAATTATTTCTCTTCATTTTGAAATAGTTTTATTTAAATCTCACGTCATTGTGCATTTAAGTTTAAAGATAAAATACGCATATTGTTAAAAATTGTTTTATTTAAATTTTATCTGAATTTGATATCATGCATATATTAAAGTCTGTCAAGACTCTAAATTAGTGTTTAGATAGGTTATTGATCTTCTTCAGAGCCAGGGGTGTGGAGTCATAAAAAAAAGTAACGACTCCAGCAGTTGAAATTTTTTGAGTACAACTCCAACTCCAATGCAAAATTTTTAAAGACTCTTAGAATTCTTTTAAAAATATTACGCAATAAGTTGAAAAATTTTTTTTACAAATTTATGAAACGTTCTTTGAGGTGTAGTATGAACATAAGGTTAATTGAATGTTTTGTACATGTACGTGCAATACCGAGAAGTTTTGATATTGGTGTCGCGATTTTGTTTAGCGACTCCGACTCCACAGCCCTGTTCAGAGCATCTCAATAAGATTTTCGACGCTAACACGAGAACTAAGGCAGTGTTGCTTCAGAATAAAGTAATAACTTTTGATTTTATCATTATTCTTTTCTTCATGAAGATTGAGAAGATAAAAATAATAGCAGAAGTCTTAGAAAGTCTAAACTTCAATGTCATTGGCAGTATTAATGTAATACTGTAATGTAAACTACAAAATATCAGTAACGCCACAGATGCTATGAATGATTTGATAAAAAAGTGAAGTAATATTTTCTAGGAAATTACACATTGATACAGAAAACGATTACGGACCATAGATTAACAGCAATGGAGATGAAAGCTTTTTATCGGAAAGGATTCAAAGAGATCAAAGGCTCTTTAACCATGGGTTTAACTAAAAACTCTGCGGTTTTAAAGGAAAAATCTGTGTATTAAGAGTCGTTTTTTTTTAGAATGAGGCAAAATCAGCAACTTGAAATAGTCAAGTTATTAAATTTTTTTTTAAATTTTAGGGATTTCTTCAAATAACTTTATAATAAAAATTAGAAAAATCAAGTGGTTCAAATTTCGAGTCACAGTAAGGAAGGAAGCGTCAACTTCCTGGTTGAATGCACTTCCGCGGTGCTCTGTAACAAGATCTTAGGGACTTCTTGGGGCACTTAAATAACAAATTAAAAAAAAAAAAAGTTGTTTGAAATGAGAGGAAGTGTTAATTTTCTATAAACGAATATAATATCAACTTGAATACATTTGAACAAAATTGAGTTTTTAAAATATCTGCAAATTACTTTTTCCGTTACCCAAAACCACCCAAGGGGCGTCAATAACGCAAATTCTGTATTTTTGAGCACCAATTCTCTGGTTGATCAAAGCTTATATCATTATATTAAAATTTTTTCGAAAAAAAACTGTTTTTTTTTTTTTTTACTGCAAATATAGTCGAATACAATATTTGTCTAAAAATCGTGTGTCAAAACCTCACTTGCTCTAAAAATGATAAAATTTGTGCTAACTTTGAGAAGCAAAAATTGTGCAAACGAGCTAATGAATTACAGTTTTTTAAGAACGGTTTAAACACCTATATACTTTCAATAAAATAAAAGACTTTAATGGGTGATTTTGTTGAAATGAAAATATCTATAATTCAAAAAGACTTTTGACAGTATAAAAAAAAACAACTATAAAAACACTATGAAATCTACAAATGAATCTATAATAAAAAATATTAGTTTATTCTCTACAATATTTGTTTATCACTTCTATGTCGTCTTTGCTAAAAATCATCTAGTACTCTAGGATGATTTGTTTAGTTTTCAAAACTCCTAGCAACAAAAACATTGGCCATCTCAACATTGGCCAAAATTGATGTTTTTTTATTTTGGGTACTGTGGGCATTTTCAATCTGATGGTTTCGAAGGTCAGGTTCAGTATCAAAAAACCTTAGGCATGATGGCTCACTGCAGTAAACAATAGCGTTAAGACACCTATCTTTTCGTTTCTTTTGATTTCTATTTGCTCTAAAATTTTCTCTACCATCGAAAGGTTCCATCCAGCGCCGGCTCGAGGAAATCAAGCGCCCCGGGCACGGATTCAAGTTGGGGCCTTTATGAATTTTGCATTTTTATAAATTATAAATCGTTTATTTATTAAATTAAACAGGAAGCAGTTTAAGGTGGTAGAGCACAATTAAAACACCAATTTTTGATCAAAATATGAAAATATATTTTTTTAATTTATCTTATTCAAAATTTTATCCTCTTTCGTTTGATGTATGTATGAAACAAAATTTATTTTTGGAAATGTGATAAAAGTCTATATTTGCAATATTATTTCCCTTAGCAACGCCATAGCAACCACAAATATACCTTCGTTTACTATATGTTGAGCAAAACTTGCAAGCTAATTTGTTATTTTGTTGTGTCTATCATGCTTTTAATTGTTTATTCATCAACTTTGTTTATAAAGAAATTTGAATGTCAAGAGTTTTGTTGAAACACGATTCAAAGATTCATGTTGTTACGGTTGTATTAGACCTATTGTTGTTGTTAGTATTGGATTAAAGATTTATTATTAATTAGTAATAAATTATATATAACAAATAAGAAAATGAACTTTAAAAAAACAAATAAACAAAAAAAAAGCTGTTTTTGCAAACATTTTTTTTAATTACAGATATTCCAAATCCTGAGAGACACAGTTTGTTTCCAATATTTGTATCAAAATGATTCATTTTGATGCAAATATTAGACTCAAAGTAAAACTTATAAACCAAATATATCTATTCCTCTATCAATCAAAGATCTCATTACACCCATTTTTATGGATTTACAGAAAAATGAATTACTGTTGAAATGTTTGCATGGTCAAACACAAAGTTCAAATAAAGCGCTCAACTCACTCATATGGTTTAAGGTACCTAAAATCACATTTATTAGTAAAGATGTTGTAGAAATGGGTGTAAACTCTGCTATTTTTCATTTTAATGATGGCAGAAATGGTGTATTAAAAGGATTACACCATTTTAGTATACAAAAAAATGTTACACAATTGACAACAAGTTTAGCAGACAAAATATGACTAAAACAAATGAAACGTAAGACTACTATTACGGTAAAGAAACAGAGAAAAAATTAAGAGCAATAAAAAAAAGAATTCAGTAAAAATCATAAAGCTAAGGAACCTCAAGACTCGAATGTTTCAGAAAGATTTTGTCATAATTTTACAGTTTAAATGTGATTTTTTATTTATTTTGTACTTATTTTTGTTTTTTCTGCAAGTTGAGTTTTTCATATTTTATCAAGATTTCAAAACATGATTTTTTCTGATTGAATAAAGCTTTTGTTATGATATTTTTAGGACATATTTCTAACAACATTAGAATTCATTTGACAGATAAATTTTGTTTAATTATTTTTAAAACTCATTATTTTTAGTTTTAACTTCTTTAAACTGCTTGTAAATCGTACAAATTTTAACTTATTTTAAAAAAAAGGTCATATCTC